CCGCCGCCGCCTCACCACGAAAGAAGCGCCGCAGAAGAACTTACCTTCGACGGAGCCCGACTTACACCAAAGCTCCGCGGCAGCAAGCAGCAACAGGAGCAGCCACAGCAGCAGCCGCCGTGGCGGCGGCGGCACGGCCGCCTCCATGTTGTGCCGCAGCAGCAGCTGCCCGCGGAATGGCTCAGGCAGGCTCCATGCTCCGTGTGCACCGCGCTCGTCAGGCAGGCAGGCAGGCAGGCAAGGGGAGAGGGAGGCGGACGCTCGCCAGAACCGCCTCCTCCTCCTCTTGCTCTTTCTCCTCCGGACAGAGCAGAGAGGGGCGGGAAGCTCCCGCTTCCCTCAAACTCTAGGATGAGCTGAGCGGAAGCCAAGGGACCGCCCCGCCTCCTTCGCCTGTGCGGGACAACCCGCCACGTGCCCCCCCCCCAAATACACACACACACACAGCTTCCCCTGTCGCCTCGGCCCGGCTGCTGCCGTTTCCCTGCTCTTTTCCCTTCAGGTTTCACTCCCACAGGTTGGAGAATTCGGATTTTTATTTTTTTTAAGGAGGCAGAGTTTTGTGGCCCCTTTAAGGCTCCAGGTTTATTTTGAGCACGATTTTTCCTGAATTACAGTGCACTGCTGCAGAAACTGGGAGTACTGTATAGTATTCCAGCCACAGGGATTATAGGCAATTGGTCTGCCATCACAGGTTGTAAGGAATGAGATTGGAGTGAAAGGGGATACAGGAATCGCACAATCGTATTATTAATACTGAACGTGAACTTTGAAAGGGTGGGTTAGTACTGAACAGCCTGGCAAAGGTGACATAGAAGCAAAGCCACCGTAAAATGACTTCTGGTTTAGTGGGGATTCTCCGCCACTCTAAGGTTGCATGTTTGCTAGTTGTAACAGGCATTTGCTGTAATATAAATACCTTCCAAGGGACACCAGCTCAAGAAGATTGCAGCCCAAGTGGTGTTTCACTCCCTGACATGGCTTGATTTTGAATAGAGGCCTGATATCCAGAAACTGCTGTGGTAATGGTAAGAGCTGAGGAACAAGAAGCTTCTCTGTGATTGCTGCCTTTTACTGGCAGGATCCTTGCATATGTTGATCTTCCTGCACCATTGCATCTCATCCCAGGATGTTTTCCTGCAATGGCTGAACGGATGGAGCCGCCTCCCTTCTGGGAAAAAGGTGCCAGAACACAGAGCACACCACACAGAATTCACCCATACAAATCCATTGCCTTTTTAAAGCCGATACATATTATCATTCTGTGGAAAAAGTAGCACACAATTTCATTTTTGTTGGAAATAATTTGAAAATACTCTACCACATTCATTACAGATCTGACGCTCCCACGGGCAAAAGATCACAGGGTGTTGTGTCCTGGTTTGTGTGTAATTTTGTTAGTTAGTTGTCTCAGATTATCATACACGTTGGATGTAGTAGGTAAACGGTTGAGGGAAATGGTACTGAAAGTACAAATAGTGATTTCACCTTTATACTGGCCATTGGCAAACAGTAGTTGGGTGGTAACCTTAGTCTTGCCTTGACCAGCTGACTAACAAATAATAGTTTAAGATAAGACTTTTACCGCACCTTTACCATGCCTCATTCAGCAATGTTAAGGAGGCTTCAGACAGCAGCCCTCTTCTTGAAACTATCCTTTGTGTTCCACCACTTCTGTTGTACTGCAGAAAATCAATTGGGGAAAACAAGGAGGAGGAGCTGCACAGTACCTTCTCACTGCAGTATACAAAATGTCATAAAAATCCCTTATCCATATTCAGAGCACAAGAGATATTACTGAACCTCTTGTTGAATTCTTGTTCAGCTATTTCACTTTAGCATTTGTCTCTGAAGTTCTTTTATTATGAGCTTTCATTGGAACAATGAGGTCAAACTGTTACCACTTGTTGCTAAGACTTTCTTAATTTAAATATGATCATAGCTCCTTCATAGCAGTCTATTTGGGATAGTGATTATTTTTGTTGTTTAGTCATTAAGTCGAGTCCAACTCTTCGTGCCCTCATGGACCAGAGCACGCCGGGCCTGCCTGTCTTCCACTGCCTCCCGGAGTTGGGTCAAATTCATGTTGGTAGCTTCAGTGATACTGTCAACCATCTCATCATCTGTTGTCCCCTTCTCCTCTTGCCTTCACACTTTCCCAACATCTGGGTCTTTTCCAGGGAGCCTTCTCTTCTCAGGAGATGGCCAAAAGTATTGGAGCCTCAGCTTCAGGATCTGTCCTGCTAGTGAGCACTCAAGAGTTGATTTCCTTCAAAATGGATAGGTTTGTTCTCCTTGCAGTCCAGGGGACTCTCAAGAGTCTCCTCCAGCACCACAATTCGAAAGCATCAATTCTTCGGTGGTCAGCCTTCTTTATGGTCCAGCTCTCGCTTCCATACATCACTACTGGAAAAGCCGTAGCTTTGACTATGCAAACCTTTGTCGGCAAGGCTATGTCTCTTGTGTTTGAAGATGCTGTCTAGGTTTGTCATCACGTTCCTCCCAAGAAGCAGGCATCTTTTAATTTTGTGGCTGCTGTCACCATCTGCAGTGATCATGGAGCCCAAGAAAGTAAAATCTGTCACTTCCTCCATATCTTCCCCTTCTATTTGCTAGGAGGTGATGGGACCAGTGGCCGTGATCTTAGTTGTTGTTTTTTTATGTTGAGCTTCAGACCATTTTTTGTGCTCTCCTCTTTCACCCTCTTTAAGAGGTTCTTTAATTCCTCCTCACTTATACTTCTGCCACAAAAAGCAATCAGCACAAAAAAAGTTGTTTGGAAAATAAAATTCAGAGTCTTCTAGACTTAGTCTTACCAGAATGAAGGATTCTAACTTACAGGAGTGGCAATTTAGTCCTAAAATAATTAATCCCTGGATATCAATCCATTTTGGGAATAGATAGATGGGGGTGGGAATCCCTATAGAGATTTTTTCCCTGACCCCTATTATAACTGAGAAATATTATAATTAAAAGCTAGAATGCTAGTCTATAGCAGAGGAGAACATAAACAAATGTTCATTCAGCCATGAGGCTGCCTAGATGATTTTGGGTAAGTCACAAATGCAAAGGGATGCTTTGAGTTAAAATGAATTGGACAGGGGGAATCCTGTTCGCCATCTTAAGCTCCTTGGAGGAAAGGCAAGAAGTGAGTTTCATAAAAGAATACAATTGAATATAGCCTTGCCTTAGCAGAGCTTAAGGTGGCTTCCATCTATGCTAGCTGTGTTCTCTTACTCCATTATTAAATAAATCCAGGCAAATGTTGTTATCAAAGCATTGCATTCCGCTTTTTTCCCTTTCATATTTATAAAGAGATTGTTCTGACTGTTTGTGCTGACAAAGCAACATGAAGGAATCTGATAGGAGGAAAGGTCTCTCCAGCTTTTAAGATACCCTTCCACTTTGTAATGCTTATTCACAACAAGAGTGTGACTATCACAATTCTCTGTGACTCTAGGGTTATTCTACAGATAATCCTGGAAATAATCAAGCCCTGTTGAAAATAATGACAGTTGTATCTAAGAAATGGAGAATTCAGACTTTGGAACTTTTATCTTTGGGGATTACAAACCCCAAAATTCTACACCTAGTGCGGCTGGTGGTCATGCTGACCCCAGAATTCTGGAAGTTGTAGTTCAAAAATAAATTTGTTTTAAATCTGTTGCATTCATCTCATTGAAATCAGTGGAATTTATTCAGAAATGAAACTCAGTGAGTTTAAATATATTTGACAGCCATGCATATCTGCATAAATATGTTTGATCATGGCTGGATTTTGTCCTGGGTTTTCTTGGAAGAAAGTTAACAGTTAAACCAGTTTCAAACCAAATTGCAATCCAAATCTTATAGTCTTTTGTAAGAAAAATGCCTAGACTGTACTTGAGACCAGGAACAATAAGGTCTTTATATCAATATCAATAAATTGTTATAATATACAGTTCCTGATAACTTTTAATTAAACAATCTCTGAGTAGCATCTGGTTTAAAATAAAACCTTGCTGTAGCTTATTTTGTGTATTTAGGTATAGATAAAAGCAGTGTAAACAGCCTTCAAAAACAGCCGTGCCGCTCTGATGTTGCAAAGGTTACTCGTGGCAAAGTAACCAAGGATTGCTAAGAATATTTGTAACTGTAATTCCTGAAGGACAGCAATACAAAGTATTCTCTTAAGTAATAATCCAGGGTGTGGGCACTTTGTTTCTTACAAGACCTGCGTAGCATGTGATGCAGGAAACTGAACACAGCATTTCGGCCACGTATTGTGGATGGTGGACTGCCAGCTTAACAGAGGTCTCTGTGTGGCTGTCTCAAGCCAGCAGAATCCCAAATGAGACTTTTTGAGAGACTGGTAGGCTGCACTGCATTCTATGGGCAAAATCCTGTTTGCACATGGAATGCACAGGGGCATACACCAAATCCAGGCACTGGAAATAATAAATTTAAGCCAATCCAGTTTCTTATGCCCTCTTTCAGGCTCCAAGGCTCCCTGAGAGCTTCAGGTAGTAGGGAGAGCCTAGCCACCAGATTGCCACTGACCATCCAATCCTGCTGGTGGTCATCTGGTAGTCATTTTTTAAAGGGTCTGTGCCCCAAACTCAAGACTTCCAAAGACTTCTACAGGGCAAAAAGGAGCCCCAGGGACAGATTGGGAGGAATTAGAAGCTTTTGATTAATTTAAATGGATTATTTCCAGCTCCCAGATCCAGTTCACACTGACATAAATATGCAAACAAGATCTTGTGCAGTGGATCCATAGATAAGCAGGCTTCAGACTGGCCCTACCATTAGCCATGAGGTGGCTGCTAATTTAGGACAGCAAATTCATAGTTACATAAATAGTTACTTATTACCTTTTTTTAAAAAAAGACTATAAAAGAATAGGGGGAATTTGTCAAATCTTACTCATGTGGCAAAATAGTTTGGCTGGTTTTTGGAACTACTGTATGTATCTTGATTTGGTGCACAGAAAAGGAGAGTGCCATTTGCTGTTCCTTCAAAGGCAGAAATACATCTTGGACCAAGCCTGTGCAGGACTGTTATGATGCTAAAAGAAACATCTTAAACCATGGCTATTTGCATTTAGAAGTGCTATTTTTCACCCTTGCTGTTGTTCAGCACTGGCTGTCATGGGGCTTCAGAGTGAACAGAAGTACATTAATTGCCCTGCACAAAATAGAAATCAAAAGAAATCTTGCTAGACTTTGAACTGTG